AAATCTTTAGGTGATTTAGTTCCGAAATGGGCACCTAAAGAAGAACTAGCCATCTTTCCAACTTCTAAACTATCCATTTATATCACTTTGTTTCCCCACACTTACGGGCAATCCTTTGGCTTAACGCAACCATCCTGTATGTTGTCGGTAAGTTGAACGTAACCGTAATTGCACTGGCATCTGGAAGGTCCACAAAGAAGGGAGAAGCAACGAGACATCTGAATGTTTATTTTTTCAAGTCAGAATAAAAAATGCGGGAGGTAGTAGAACTCACAGCAATGAGGTTACTACACGTCTTCTGTCCGCATAAATTGCTACATCCTTGAAATGCGGAGTTCTTCGGACATGGTTCTGTAAAATGTCACTGACCACCGAAAGTGGATTGCTCAGGGGATTATGGGCAAGAATTTGTGTGAAAACAAGTGGGAACAAGGAGAAAATTGCTTCTGATCACTAGAAAATTCTGAAATGCTCAGCTTCTAGCAGCAAAAATCGCAGTAAAAGTTTCGTTAGAATTTCCGGGCCGGCCGTGCCCATACTCTACGAGTTGATCCTTGGGATGAAAAATATCTTCAAAGTTCGAGAAATTCTACAGTTATTCTTGAGAAATTTTTGGAAAACATGCAGACAGAAACATGGGAAGGTGCACGAAGCGGCTCGGAACTTTACAGAAGAATCAACGCGGTGATTGATTATTTTAATCAAGGTTAAGGTTGATGTCGGTGGGAATCTTCTCGTCTCCTTCCTACCCTCAATCCCGCGACAGGTCTGCTGTTCTTGTCAACTGCCTCCCCCTCCTCCTATCTGTGGCATCCTTTGCCGTCACTTTTTCGAGGCACCTCCTGCCATTACTTTACCGAGGTCCTTCTTGATTACGTCTCGCCACTTCCCGTTTAGAACCCCTCGTGGTCGCTTCCGTAGAGCCTCGAATTCCTTATCAGCTGATTCTGCGCCCTCCACAGTACATGCCCATAGCATCGCAGACGGTGCTCTATTGTATCTAGCTGGACAAGGCTGTTTGCGTGGCCGCTCTGACGCGTCTGCGTTTTTGACCCGGTCCAACTCATTTCGAATGCCTCTCATGCTTTTTACTTATAGGGTGGCAATCGCTACCGTAAATCAGTGGGCCTTACCACTGTCCTTTGAGCTTTCTGGACGCCATCGATCGCAGTGAATGCCGGTGACTTCCTCCATTTCATCTCCATGCAACGTTTATTCGAGCTTTTACAGTCTGGTCCACGCTACCATCAGCAACTGGATCACTCCCCTAGTACCGGAACTCTTTTGATGCATTCTTCGAGGCAGTCTTCAGTTGGACACTCTTTCGAGCGGGAAATTTTTTTTTTCACATCAGCCAATGCATTCTCTGCCTACATTCTTCTTTGTTCTCCACTGTGAGAGCGATGCCATCAGCGTAGAGGATGGTCTTCAGTGGTCCATGTATGAGATGTTCTGTGATGACGTTCATTGTCAGCAGGAAGTGTAACGGGCTCGAAGGTGATCCTTGATGTTTCTGTACCGTGATGTCTATGGCTATCATTGAAACATCTTCCAATTTTTGGGCAGCATACAGTCCAGTAAATTCACCTTTTGAAAAGTGCTACCCAATTGGAGAGGCTAAAGGGGGTGTCATTGCGGATGTTAAAAGGAACAGAATCAAAGAGTGGATACGAGCATAGCTTCCGCTTACCGCAGTTTTCTATTAATTTCGGACACTGTGATGGTAGGTAGAGAGATGTCTCCATTTGGCATCCTTTCTTGACTTTAGGGATCGTCGGGAAAGGGCAAGAATTCGATGCTGAAAAATGACGATTTTTTCTTCTTTTTGCACTATGTATCAGTAATCCCACCCGCCCTAGAACCTAATTACTCTCTAAAACATTCTCGCGAAAGGTTTATTCTTCAACAAAAGCCGATTGTGTTAAACAAATTCAGGATTGCTTGGAGTGTCAGAGTACTTTTCTGCTGTATGTCGTGAGAGGGGAACCCGGCTACTCCGTAATGCATTGATGGGATATCAAGTCGAATCGCACAAAGCTTCGATGTATTTTTGATCCATCAGCAATCCAAAAATCACTATAAGATTGAGCACTTGCCATCCTTATCACAGATT